CGAACTGCGCCGCGAGCGTCGGCGACACCGCGCCGAGGAGCGCCGCTGGAGGGCCGAAGAGAAGCGGCTGCGCACACAGCTAAGCGACGCGGAGGACGCCGTCACCCAGCTGAAGAGCGCGCTTGGTGGGATTTTCTCCGACCGCCAGCTCACCACCCTGCGGACCGGGCGGCGCGTGAACTGGGAGCAGCAGGACATCGTCCGCGCGCTGGTGATCCGCTGCTGCTCGAGGAAGTGCTACCAGCTCCTCAAGGACAAGTTCCAGTTCCCGCTGCCTGGACTCTCCACCCTCCGCCGCTGGACTCGAGGCTTCCGGACGTCACCGGGGATCCTGGACATGGCTCTGCAGATCATGCGCTCGTCCGCAGACACCATGACGTCGCATGAGAGGCTGCTCGTCATGTCCTTCGACGAGATCACCATCGATCCCCGCGTGGCGTACGACTCCACGGACGACGCGGTCTACGGCCCCAACGACAAGATGCAGGTGGTGATGGTCCGCTCCTTGTGCAGTCGTTGGAAGCAGCCCGTCTTCTTCGACTACAACAAGGACGTCACCAAGGACCTTCTCCACCGCATCATCGCCGCCGTGGAGTCTGCCGGCTACGTGGTCGTCGCCATGGTGTGCGACCTGGGGCCGGCCAACCGGAAGCTGCTGTGGTCGCCGAAGGCCGCTGACGGACTGGGCATCGACCCGGAGGACGGGTTCTTTGCCCATCCGTGCGACCCCAGCCGGTAAGTCAACTTTTCTAACTTTCTTATTCATCGGTTTTTAACTTCGGACACTAATTTCTAGGGAGACCATAAATAAGCTTATATTTCGATGTTGTGTAGCAAGTTTATGTAGCCACAGCAACTCTTCATTCATGTTGCATTGAAACCAAATATGTCATGTATGTCATGCCGCTGGCAACGATTGTCTTGATGGCCTTGGTACCGGCATTCAGCCTTTCGAAAACCACTAAAATTGTAGCTTAATTTCCGTGTAAATGCTAGCTGACGGCAACTTCGTTCCGTTTCACTCTGCAGAAAAATCTTCACCTTCGCGGACGTGCCACACCTCCTAAAGCTTCTCCGCAATCACATTCTCCGGCAAGGCCTCCAGCTGCCAGGCGGCCCTGTCATCGACAAGAAGGTCTTTTGCAACCTTCTGGAGAAAGATAACTCTGAGTTTCGGCTATGCCACTTTCTGAAGTGGAAGCACATCACGGTGAGCAAGTTATCAATGTTAATTACCATAACCAGCAGCATTATGAATGATATGTGCCATCAACTTGGATGATTAATTCCGTGACGCTGAAAAGCAATGTCTTTTTACATTTGATGCAAAGCTGTGATAGTGTAGCACATTATAGTGTGTGTTAACTGTAGTCAAAAATTTATCTCGTCATTGGAAACAAGTTAAAAATTTACGAAATTTGGCCCTTCAGTGAGCCTGAATGTTGACCAACAAAAAGTCAACCAACGTCATTATTTATTACTCCTTTGGTTCCCCGTGTGTCGCAGGTGCGGGGTCAGGAATGCCAGCGCGTGTACCTGGCCGCCCAGCTCCTCAGTGAGCGCGTGGCCAAGGCGGTCTCGCACATCTTCGGTGACCGGTACCGGAAGGAGGCGGAGTTCATCGCCCTCGTCGACCAAGCCTTCGACACGTTCAACTCCCGCCACGTGTCGGACGGCAAACTACACCGGTCGGCGTTTGGGCTGGCCCATACCATCGAGGACCAGTACTCCTGCCTCCTCAAGTTCACGAAGGTGATGCGAGACGCGCGCGTGGTCGGCAGCAACTCGATGCTGCCCTTTCAGAAGGGCTTCGTGATGTCCTCCACCGCTCTGCGCGGCCTGTACAGCGCTGTGCAGCGGCATCACGGGCTCAGCTACCTACTGACCTCCCGGCTCAATCAGGACTGCGTCGAAAACTTCTTCTCGCAGGTAAGCATTCTAACATCAGTCACACATTTTGATGCAACTCAAATAAAACACGGGCGATTCTTTTCTTTCTTTCTTTCTTTTTTTATGCAGGTAAACATTAAGAGCAATATGCACATAGACTATCACGCAAAGCCCTTTGTCCTGGTATTGTATCTAGCCTTGAAATTTATTTTAATTTGTTTTAATACGTCTCGCCCGAATGTGTAGCTTACTACATATCTGGGTTGTGTATATAAGTACTTTGACGGCATTTTTTCTATCCTTAAACAATAAACATTCATGGTTTACTCGTAATGAAGACATTGGTCTTTTTTATATATATTAAGTGTTACCCACTCACACTCACCTCTTTTGTGTTATAATAGACTTTAATTACCTCACTCTGATAAACTATGTTTTGTTTCACTTCTTTGATTTCACTGGGTGACCCGGTAATGGTAAAAAACAATAAATATTAGACCTGTTGTCACAGTGGTTAAGTTATACCCCGCACCTTTAATGCCCACCTAATCGAGTCTTTTTTTAGGTATTTTACCAACCACTGTTTCTATTTCAGTTGAGAGGCATGGGT